CCACAAGCAAGGTAGTAGCACAGGCAGCGGCACAAGCAGCGGCCCAGGCTGCAGCCCAGGCCACTGCACATTTAGTCGCAATTACTTTTTGTGGCATCATCATCTTATCCAAATGCAAATTATTACCTGTTGCATTGCATTGGTTGTTTTGTATCACTTATTGTGTATTTTTTCGCTTTGTCCGACAATGTGTCGTATTTTGTACATTTTTACTGCTTGTTTTAGACATGATTCTTTTATATCCTTACCTAAACCATGTCATATAATTAAATAATGCACTGGTATTAATTTTAAATGTCATTTCCAATCTTTTTCTATTTTCTTGAATTTCTTGAATTTTTTAGATATTTATTTATTTATAAAAATTAATATAAAATAAATTAACTTTTAAAAAATATTTTAGAAATTACTATAATTACAAGTGCCTCATCCTTTAATTATTGAAATCATTTCTACAATTTTCTCACTATTTTTGCTAATTTTTATTAATTTTTAAATATTAAAATAGAAATAAATTAAACTAGAATATTTTGGTAGCCAAAACGTTTTTTTTTTAATTTTTTTACGATGTTTGATTTTTTTTTTCTTCAAGTTATCATTGAAAATTTGTGAAAGAAAATGTTACTTTTTAAAAATACCCCATTATGACTCCTCAAGCATAGGTGATGTTTCCTCTTGCCAGATGGAAAAAGGCTTAACAAACTACTATAAAGAGGGGCACCTCCCTTAAGGCTGGCCAGCGTGGCCAGGCCACAGGCCACGCCCATGCTAGGGCGCGCGCTTGGTATATGCCGTTGCTTGGCTTATGGCATTGAAACTCCATAGCCAAGCATGAGATGTGTCGAGTGGCGGTCCGCGGTGGTGGCGGTGGTAGTAGCACTGCGACCTTGGCCGGTAGCGCAGAATGGCCCGTATGTAGCCTTAGCTACGGCTTGGTTAGCATTCCAGCTTGGCGTGCACACATACAGGGCCGCAGCCATGATGTTGCAGCATTCCATGGTCGCGCCCTCGGTTGCCTAGCATGTCTGCCAGCAGTGCTACGGCCTTAGCGGCCTAGCAGCCTAGCATACACACGGCCAGGGTTGTGACCTGGCCAACTTGGCAGCATGGCATGACCGTGGGATTGATAGCATGCTAGCCTAGCCTGCGCGCATCCTAGACAGCATGGCATACCCGCGGCCTGGCTTGTGCACGGCCTTGGCAACATGGCATTCCCGCAGCCTAGGCAGCATAGCAGCCTGGCCTGTATGTGGCCTTGGCAGCATGTGAAGCATGCGGCATTTGCAGCATGCTAGCCTAGCCTACGTGCAGTCTAGGCAGCAGAGAATGCCCACAGGCTAGCCAGTATGGCCATCTCGTTTGCGCGTGGCCTTGTAGCATGGCAGCTTGGCCCACGCGCGACCTTTGCAACATGTCAAGCGTGCAGCCTTAGCAGTATGGCTACCTAGCTTGCGTGCGGCCTAGGTAGTGTGGCATGCCCACAGCCTAGCCAGTATAGTTGTCTGGCGTGCGCACGGCCTTTGCAGGTTGGCATGCCCGCAGCCTCGGCAGCTTGGCAGCCTAGCCTACTCAGGGCCTTAGCTGCATGTCAGGCCTTAGGCCTAGACAGCATGGCATGCCTGCGGCCTAGCAAGCATGGCTATCTAGCATGTGTATGACCTTTGTAGCATGGCCTACCCATGGCCTAAGTAACATGGTAGCTTGGCATGTGCGCAGCCATGGCAACATGGCACGCACCTGGCCAAGGCAGTATGGTTGCCAAGCATGTGCGCGGCCTTGGCAGCATCGCAGCCTGACCTGCACACAACCTTGGCTGCTTGTCATGTGCATGACCTAGGCAGTATGACAGCCTCGTATGCTCGTGGCCTTGACAGCATGGTACAACCATTGTAGTATGGCATGCGCATGACCATTATAGCATGGCATGCATACGGCCTTAACAGTATAGTAGGCTAGCCCGTGGGCAATCTTGGTATTCTGGCCTACTTACAGGTGGCCTTGGCAGCTCGGCCTGCTTGCGGCCTTGTCAGCATGCCAGCCCAGCCTGCGGATGACCTATACAGCCTGGCTTGCCCTGCTCCTTTCGAAAAGTATGTCCCGCGGGTAATTGACTTTTACCTACAAGTTCCATGGGCTTCCCTTGTGGAAGTTGCCTTGCGAAAAGCTTGTCCCTCTGATAGTTGCCATTAGCTTGGCTTTGACTTACGTACAAGTTGCCTTTGTTTTCCTAGTGGAACCTTGTTGCAAAAAGTATGTCTGTCGAAAGTTACTTGTTGCCTTTGTTATTTGCAGTCGCAACAATGATTGCTTGCTCGACTTCTCTAAATGTTTTTGCACGTTCGTTGCACTTCTTAGTCCTTCATGATGTGTTTCATTTTGGGGGGCTGGTGCATAGTGTACGTCATGGTTGCGTGAGTTGTGATTGGATTGTGAGAGTTGGATAGCTTCTTACTTGTGCAGCGAACTCCACTAGTACATTCCTCTTCATCATACGTGGGATTCTTACAAGTTGCCTGCGCTTTCCTAGTGGAAGCACCTTGCAAAAAGTTATATCCCTCGGGTAATTTCCATTAGGTTGGCTTTGACTTGCCTACAAGTTGCCTACGCTTCCCCAGTGAAAGCTACTTTGTGAAAAGCATGTCCCTCGAGTAATTGCCATTTGGTTGGGTTTGACTTACGAACAAGTTCCCTGTGCTTTCCTAGTGGAAGCTTGTTGTGAAAAGTATGTCCCTCAGAAGTTGCTTGTTGCCTTTGTTATTTGTAGTCGCGCTAACTGGTGCTTGCTCGGCTTCTCTAAATATTTTTTTCACATTCGTCAGGTTTCTTAGTCCTTCGGGTGTGATGTCTTTTTGCGGGGCAGGTGCATAGTATATGTCGTGGCACGTGAGTTATGATTGGTTTGTGCAAGTTAGATGGATCCATGCTTGTGCAGCAAACTCCTTTGGTGCATTCCTTTTCATTCGTGTGTTGTCTACCTAAGGAAAGGGAATTCGGTCTGAATCATTTGCCTATATTCGTCTCGGCACCTCATGGCACTAGGTGAACCCCAAAGTATCTCTTGCGTTCCATGCTGTCTTCAAGTTACTGTATCGGTAGCACGGCCTGTGCGCAATTATACTCGTGCTCTCAGATTTAGCGCCTTGTGCGGGTACACGTGATCTTCTAAAATGGATGCATTTATTAGATAAAAAGTCGACGCATGCTATGACTGTTGCTCTGATGATTCATGATAACTCGACGGATCACACGGCCTTTGTGCTAGTGACGTATCATTCAAATTTCTTCCCTATCAACTTTCGATGATAGGATAATGGCCTACCATGGTGGTGACGGGTGACAGAGAAAAAGGGTTTGATTTTGGAGAGAGAGCCTAAGAAATGGCTACCATATCCAAGGAAGGCAGTAGGCACTGAAATTACCCAATCCTGACACGGGGAGGTAATGACAATAAATAACAATACCGGGCTCTTTGAGTTTGGTAATTGGAATGAATACAATCTAAATTCCTTAACGAGGATCCATTGGAGGGCAAGTCTAGTGCCAGCAGCCACAGTATTCTAGCTCCAATAGTGTATATTTAAGTTGTTGTAGTTAAAAAGCTTGCAGTTGGATTTTGGGTTGGGTCAACCCATCCGCCTTAAGTGTGCACCGGTCGTCTCGTCCCTTCTGTCGGTGATGCGCTCCTGGTCTTAATTGGCCGAGTCGTGCCTCTAGCGCTGTTACTTCGAAGAAATTAGATTGCTCAAAGCAAGCCTACACTCTGGATACATTAGCATGGAAGAACATCATAGGATTTCGATCCTATTACATTGGCCTTCGGGATCGGAGTAATGATTAACAGGGACAGCTAGGGGCATTCATATTTCATAGTCAGAGGTGGAATTCTTGGATTTATCAAAGATGAACAACTTCGAAAGCATTTGCCAAGGATGTTTTCATTAATCTAGAATGAAAGTTGGGGGCTTGAAGATGATCAGATACCATCCTAGTCGCAACCATAAACGATGTCGACTAGGGATCAACGGATGTTACTTTTAGGATTCCGCTAGCACCTTATGAGAAATCAAAGTTTTTGGGTTCCGGGGGGAGTATGGTCACAAGGCTGAAACTTAAAGGAATTGACAGAAAGGCACCACCAGGAGTGGAGCCTGCGGCTTAATTTGACACAACACGGGAAAACTTACTAGGTCTAGACATAGTAAGGATTGACTGACTGGGAGCTCATTCTTGATTCTACGGGTGGTAGTGCATGACCGTTCTTAGTTGGTGGAGCAATTTGTTTGGTTAATTATGTTAACAAACAAGACCTCAGCCTGCTAACTGGCTATGTGGAGGGAACCCTCCACAACTAGCTTCTTGGAGGGCCTATGGCTCTTCAGGCCAGGGAAATTTGAGGTAATAACAGGTCTGTGATGCCCTTAGATGTTATGGGTTGCATGCACGCTACACTGATGTATTCAACGAGTCTATAGCCTTAGCCGACAGGCCCGAGTAATCTTTGAAATTTCATCATGATGGAGATAGATCATTGCAATTGTTGGTCTTCAATGGGGAATTCCTAGTAAGTGCGAGTCATTAGTTCGCGTTGACTACGTCCCTGCCCTTTGTACACACCACCCATTGCTCCTACCGATTGAATGGTGAAGTGTTTGGATCGTGGCGACGTGGGCGGTTCGCTGCCAGGGACATCATGAGAAGTCCACTGAACCTTATCATTTAGAGGAAGGCAAAGTCATAACAAGGTTTCCGTAGGTGAACCTATGGAAGGATCATTATTGATGCTTGCGTAACAGAATGACCCGCGAACTTGTCATTATTGCTGGGGAAGCAGGAGGCGAGTCATCGGCCCCCTCTTGTTACCTCTCATCTGGACTGCGCTTGGAGCCCCTTCGGGGGCGACGAGTGCCATTCCTCAGCAAAACAACTAACCTTGGCACGAATTGCACCAGGGAACTTGAACAAAGGGAGCACGCTAGGTGTATCTCACGAAAAAACTAAACAAATCTCGACAATGGATATCTTGACTCTCGTATCGATGAAAAACGTAGCGAAATGTGATACTTGGTGTGAATTGCACAATCCTGTGAACCATTGATTCTTTGAAAGCAAGTTATGCCTGAAGCCATTAGGTTGATGGCACGTCTGCTTGGGCATCTCATGTTGCGTCACCCCTACCCCCGAAGGGTTGTGGACGGATGTTAGCCCCTGCACTCTCCCGCCTGCAGTCGGCCTAAAAATGATTCCCCCACAGTGGATGATGTGTCACAACGAGTGATGCTTGACAAACTGTTGCGTAGTGTCATGCGCATCCTAATCATCACGAGAGGCCAGTTGTGACTTTATTGCGCAACTACCAAGGCGCTCCGATCACAACCCTAGGTCAGGTGGGATTACCCGCTGAGTTTAAGCATATCAATAAGCGGAGGAAGAGAAACTTACAAGGATTCCCCTAGTAACGGCGAGCAAACCAAGAAGTACCCAGCTTGAAAAGCGAGCAACCTTGTTGTTCTAATTATAGTTTGGAGAAGCGTCCTCAGTGGCGGACCGGGCCCAAGTCCCCTGGAAAGGGGTGCTAGAGAGGGTGAGAGCCCCATCGTGCCTAGACCCTGTCGGACCACAAGGTGTTGTTTGCAAGTCGAGTTGTTTAGGAATATAGCCCTAATTGGCCAGTAAATTTCGTCCAAGGCTAAATATTGGCAAGAGACTGATTGCAAACAAGTACCGCGAGGGAAAGATAAAAAGGACTTTGAATAGAGAGTTAAGAGTACTTGACATTGTCGGGAGAGAAATGGATGGGGGCTAGCGATGTGCCCCGGTCGGATGTGGAACGGCGACTAGCTGGTCCACCGATCGACTCAGGGCGTGGGCCGATGTGGATTGGGGCGGAGGCCAAAGCTTGGGCAGTCGAAAAGCCTGCGGAGATGCCTTCGCCTCGATCGTGGCTGGTAGCGCATGCCTTCGGTATGCTTTGGCATCTGCACGCTCCAGGCACTGGCCTACGAGCTCTCTATTCGACTCGTCTTGAAACACGGACCAAGGAGTCTGACATTTATGCCAGTCAATGGGTGAGTAAACTCGTAAGGCACAAAGAAGTTAATTGATGGGATTCCCTCGAGGGTTGCATTGTCGACCGACCTTGATCTTTCGAGAATGGTTCGGGTGTGAGCATGCTTGTCAGGACCCAAAAGATGGTGAACTATGCCTGAGCAGGGCAAAGCCAGAGGAAACTCTAGTAGAGGTCCACAGCGATACTGACATGTAAATCGTTTATTTGATTTGGGTATAGGGGCGAAATACTAATCAAATCATCTAGTAGCTGGTTCCCTCCAAAGTTTCCCTCATGATAGCTAGAGCCCGAGCCCGATCACGAGTTCTATTAGGTAAAGCCAATGATTAGAGGCATCGGGAAAATAATGCCCTCGACCTATTCTCAACTTTAAATACGTAGGACGGCACGACTGCTCCGTTGAGTCGGGCTCCATGTGGGGCATTTTTGGTAAGTAGAATTGGCGATGCGTGATGAATCGGAAGCCGGGTTACGGTGCCCAACGACGCGCTAACCTAGAACCCACAAAGGGTGTTGGTTGATTAAGACAATAGCACGGTGGTCATGGAAATCAAAATCCGCTAAGGAGTGTGTAACAACTCACCTGTTAAATCAACTAGCCCAGAAAATGGATGGAGCTTAAGTGCACAACCTATACCCAGTCGTCAGGGCAAGTGCCAGCCCCAGATGAGGCATAGCGGTCGTTGCAAAACCTTGGGCGCACGCTAGGGCGAACGTCCGTTGGTACAGATCTTGGTAGTTGTAGCAAATATTCAAATAAGAACTTTGAAGGCCAAAGAGGGGAAAGGTTCCATGTGAACGACACTTACACATGGGTTAGTCGATCCTAAGAGTCGGGGGAAGCTCGACAAAAAGCGCATTCAGCACGAGCTTCGAAAGGGAATCGGGTTAAAATTCCTGAATCGGGATGTGGCAATTGACGGCAATGGGAACAGTTATCTTTTCTGTTTAATAGCCTGCCCACAATAGAAATCGCTCAGTCGGAGGTAGGGTTTAGCGGTTGGAAGAACGCCGTACAACGCATGGTGTCCGGTGCGCCTCTGGCGGCCCTTGAAAATTCAAAAGACTGAGTGCCTCCCATGCCCGGTCGTACTCATAATTGCATCAGGTCTCCAAGGTGAACAACCTCTGGTCGATGGAACAATATAGGCAAGGAAAGTCGGCAAAATGGATTTGTGGGGGCCAAATATTAGGAGTCGTAAAGAGGCCGAATAGTTGGACCTGGAGAGTCGAAATATATATATTGCATCCGGCCCCGTCTCGCACATTCAAATCCTACCATATTCGGCCAAATAGCCGGTTGAGCAAGGGACCGAGTGAAAAGCAATTTGCTACAAAAGAAGCCAAAAACATAATTATACGGCAAATTCAAAGTGGGCCCAGTCCCAAGGCCCAAGAAATAAAAGATATAAATAGAAGAACATCAGCCAGAAAGAGGTATGTGAGAACTAGTATGCTTAACTTAAGATACAAGCAATCAAGAGAGTATACACTGACTTATCCGTCGGAGTGTTAATTCTGGCACTCCCGACCGGAGTGTTCATTCCTTTTCAAGTGACTAGCTGAGGATCACGAGCGTCCCCCAGGATCTGAAGAGTATTTCCAAACCACTTCTCCACAATTGACGCCATCTGTGAGAATACTCAAAAACATCCATGGTGGGCGTAATGGAAGACCCTCTGATAGTCACTGACGAAACCACACAGAGAGACGACCTCACTCCAACAAACATGCTTGGACCGAAGACTATCGCCGCAAGATGCGCCTTGAACTTCGCCTCACCCTTGACTTCAGCATATGAGACAATGCAAACGATCATGCAACAAGAAAAGCAAAACGAACAAAGGTTGGAAAACATGATCGTTGAGAACGAACGTCCTCGTCAAGATTTGGCCTTCGAAGTGGCGAAGTCCAAACAAGTTGTATGCCAAGATCCGAAATGACCTCTGATGGCAGGTGGTCGACGACCTCTAGCCCGACAACACGACATTGATAGCGACTCCAACTCATTATCCCCTGAGCCCAAGAAGAAGGGATGACCCGAAACTACCAGTTCCTCTGAAGAGAGTCCACGTATAAGGCATAAGCGAAGAAGAAACAGTTCAGACGAAGAAGACCAGCACGATCCCTTTGTACGACGGATTGCAAGGGCAGTGCTACCCAAGAAATTCAAAGCACCGTCATTCACCTTGTACGACGGTAAATCAGACCCCACCGATCACATTCGCCATTACAAGCAAGCCATGACGCTGCATGCAGACGACGAGGCACTCATGTGCAGAATATTTCCAAACAGTTTGGGAACACTGGCTGTCAGGTGCTATTATAAACTGGAGCTGACTTCGATCAAGAGCTTCCACCAACTCCAAAAATCCTTCAGGGCAAGGTTTAGGCAAAGCAAGCCGATTCCCTCTAGGCAATGCAGATTCAATCAGGGGAAACCCTTCGTGCGTATTCGACGCGATATTGGGAGTGTTTTAATCTAGTGGATGATGCTTGCAATGACTCCATGGCCATTACCGCCTTCAAGATGGGATTACATCCCAATAGTGCCCTCCGCAGCTCTTTGACTAGACGGCCCCCCAAAATAGTTTGGTCGTTGATGATGAAGGTTGGGGAATACTACAAAGTGGAGGATGACGCCTTGCAGGTTAAAGGCGAAAACGTGGCCAACAAGACAGCCCCTTCTGAAATTGCTGAGCCGATAAATTTTGTTCCACCTCAGAGTCCAGAACCACGGCATCAGGCTAAACGAGACAAGAGACGGGATTTTGGCCAATCAAACGACCATGCCCCCATCGAGCAAATGAACAACTGCAAGTCGATGACAAGTGCACAAGGCGCACCGACAAGAAATACATGGATTTGTCAGAGCCGATCAGCGCGATCATGTCCAAAGTTCAACACCTTTTGTTCTTCAAATGGCCGTCCAAAATGGTGGGACCTCCCGAAATGAGAAGACGGGATAGGCGGTGCGAATATAACAAGGATCACGGCCATGATACTGAGAGTTGTTACGCATTGAAGGATCACCTAGAGGAACTGGTACAAGATGGTCGGCTACAATAGTACGTTCAAAAAGGCAACTTAACCAAAGCAATAGCCTTACGACAGGATTCACCTTCACTCGGCGTGATCCACATGATTTATAGCCTACCAATGTCATCCACGGTGCATATGATTCAGTAGAATCCCGTCCCTCAAAATCAACTCACTCTAGTTAAACGGCCCCATGAAGCTGCGAGCATTGCTTTTGATGATTCAGATTTGGCCAGAGTAACACTTCCACACATCGATCCCTTGGTAATCAAACGCGTAAACCGATTCACCGTTGAGCGCATACTCATTGACCCGAGGAGCACATCGGAAGTTATGTATTACAAGACTTTCACCAAACTCGACTTCTCCGAATCGGATCTTTCTCCAACTCCTTACCCATTATTCGGCTTCAACGCGAATCCAGAATACCCATTGGGGAAGATCACACTACCCATTTGAGCGGGCTCCTGAACAGTGGATGTGGAATTCTTGGTCGTCAAGCTGCCATCGCCGTACAATCTCATCATGGAGCGAACTTGGTTACATACTATGCAGGCCATGCCAAGCACCTATCATCAGCTGCTATGCTTCCTGACAGAATGCAGCATTGAGCAAATCCATGGCTCCCAAAAATCGGCACAAGCATGTTATCTCCTTGCTGGAAAGACGCCAAAAGAGTTTCAAGTGAATTCAATTGACGTGCCGGATCGAGAGAGCCTCGACGATGTTAGGCGGCTCCCAAGTGAAAAGGCCACAGAAGCCCTAGGATTCACGGCGCCTCCTTGAATCAAGCCGACAGGCAGTAGCTAATTTCCTTCCTACTCGGCAACCTTGATGTATTTGCGTGGACTCCATATGAGATGCCAGGTGTAGATCCGTCAGTTTCGCAGCACCGTTTAAATGTTGACCCTAAATGGAAGCCGATTATTCAGAAAAGTCGGGGATCAGCTACAGAGCACATTGCCGCCGTTGTTGAAGAGGTTGACCAGTTGCTTGACGCCGGAGCTATCAGGGAAGTGACCTACCCCACATGGCTCTCGAATACTGTGG